GTGATTGATGTGGTAGTACCCAAAGGTAGAATTATATATAGTAAAAGAAATAAGAAATTATGCCTTTGGGTACTACCACCAATAGATAAAAAAGAGAGCAGAAAGATGGAAAGACTTAGGAGAATACAAGAAAAAAAAAATATAAAAACAGTATAATCTAAACTAATTCGGCACTATGTGCCTTATTCTGGCAATCACATCATAGTGGAATAGTATTTAAGATGGCATCCAAGGTGAAGCAAATAACCCATTGAATGGAAAAACAGAATTTGGGAACAGCTAAACCTCTTTAGAGTAAGGGGTCTTTACACTTACTCGAAAGAAAATGCTTTTTATGCATGTAAATTATCTACTGTGCCACCTGACGTAATATTTTTTACACCACTTCGGCATCTAGAAAGGCAACCAAACAGGCACAGAAAAGGCAAAATGGCAAGGATATTACAACATTGGCACTTTATATGTGTCTCACTAGCAAACAAGAGATGGCAAATAGATTTCAATATATTATTAGCAGAAGATAGATTGCAGAATTAGCACTTCATGTCTCACCTTGACAATCGAAAGGGCATCCCATCCCCGGCATCTTTTTTTTTACACCACTGCTCAGGTAAAGGAAAACATGACCACACTCTGGCTCATATTTAAAGAGACCATGCAGGCCAGAACATAGGTTTCAATTTTTTTACACACCAACAACCAAGCTGGCATCCGAACTGGCACACAAGGCTGATACTAAAAAGTAACCAAGCCAACCCCTAAACCAACCCACAAGACCGATATTAAAAACCAACCAACCTGACTCCCAAACTAGCACACAGGACCGATATCAAAAACTAACCAATTCAACCTTCAAAAGACCACAAAGCATTAAAAATACTAAAGTAGATAGCACTATAACCATATGTAGGTAGCATTATAACTATAAGCAGGTAGCATTATAATTATAAGTAGGTAGCATTATAATGTAAGTAGAGCAGTCTTATAAGACTGCTCTACTCAAGTCAATTTGGCAATTCTGCCCATGGGTGACCTGTGGGGTTAGTCCACGGGTGACCCGCGGCTTACCACCAAGTGGTCATAATTTAACTCGGGTTACCCGCCCACCCACAAGTAGAAATGTAGTCGCAGACACAAACTTGAGTTTTTAATCATGTAAGGCTGCACAAAAATCAAAGGCCGGATAGGTATGATTGGTTGCAATGTATGCCGTATATACGGTTTAGTATAACTTGGAAATTGCTATATATATATTTGTGAAATTGAATAGAAGTCAACTTTAAACAACTTGACTCTAACTGACTCGAAACCCGACTAAACCGAGCTGTTTAACATCCCTACCCACGGGTAACCTGTCCGGGTCGGAACTAATGGTGTGAGCGCAATGCCGTAATTGGTCGTAATTTTTTTTACAAAAACTCAATTATATCGTGATTCAATAATCC